CGAATGTTGGAATTCCTTAAATTCTTTGAATTTGAGTTTGAGTCATCGAAAAAAGAGTCAGTGGGTCTTCCGCCTGGCCATCCATGACCAATAAGCACATGGTTGAATCGGCCACATCGATGAATAAAATGAGGAAAAAAAAAGAAGGAAAATAGGGAACAAAATGAGGGAAAAAAAACGAAGGAAAATGAGGAACGAAAATGGTAAAATTTTTTCAATAAAATGAGGAATTATCTGATTAGGATGGTATAAGCGTAATTGTGCTTTCAATTCTTACTAAATAAATGGCACATGATAATTCCGTCACTTATTATAACAGAAGACAAAAACTTGTTAACGAAATAAAGTTTGGGGAGAACGAATGTTACTTTTTAAAATTCAAATGGGCAAAGTGTTAAAAGTATCATAGAGGAGAAATTTTTGAAATTAATCTAATATATAAATATAAATATATATATATATATATATATTCATAATTCGTTAATTTAAAAATATTGCCAAAACACGTTAAATCGGTTGTATTTATTCTGTATCTCTTCTATCTTTCCTTTTGTCACCCATTATTTTCAAGTAGCACAACGATTTAACCAAAAACAGCAACCATGATTTTTTCTCAAGGGAAATAACAACCACGAATTGATTATAAGATTATTCCAATGAAGGGTATGATCAAGTAAATTAATGGAGTACACACACCTTGCCAAACACATGATATTCAAACTTAAGAGGTATCGGAAAAGTTATCCAAACATGATTAATATATATGATCCTATATATCGTGTATTACTCTCTTTATAGGATTTTGGCCATGCATCGGAAGGGTCAACCAACCGGATAAAGTTGGTTGATCAAATTTATGGGCACCCCACCGGAGAAGTTTCAATTTTGGGTGATCTTCCTTAGATGATGACCCAGCAATGGAACTTCCTCTATTTGTTGTGCCATGTTTTTGCCCTTACCACCCACCAAATTGGAAGGGCTTATTTGTCTTATTCCATCTTTTTCCTGCCTATATTCTTTGGCGTTTACAACCATATTTTTCCCTTTGTGTGACCTTATATAAGTTCATGCACCCAAAATGGGATAATAACTCGCACAATTTCCTTTTTTCTTTTTCTCTCCCGTTTTAGTGGTTTACTATTTTAAAATGATTTTGTTTTTTTGTATGAAAATAAAAACGAAAACGTTTTTAATCTCAGACAAAAATCATTTTTGAAAATGCGTTTAGTAGTTTTATCAAGATATTATTTTCAGTGTAAAAAAACCCATTAATGTCTCTCTTTCTGCTCGAGAGAGGAGAAAACGAAAACAAAAAATAAAAATGACTAAAAGTCGTTTTTCATTTCTCTCTCATTTTACACTAAACCAAAAAGTCATTTTCATTTCCGTTTTTTCTTTTTATTGCACCAAACGCCGTTTTGAAAACGTTTTTATTTTTTTTTCTCAAAAAATGTAAAAAATAAAAACGGGATCAATTCCAAACACGACCATCATTTCAAAATAAAAACCATTCATACTTCATCCTTTTTTTCAAAGCCATATGTCATCCATTTGTAAGTGTCTTTTGTTTCAAAGAAAGAATAATAATAATAATTTTCATCGTTATAAAATTATCACATTTATTTCAAGAATGGACCACGTTAATTAATAAAAGAAAAAATCTTTACCCGGGTATTATTGTACCAACTTGAAACGCTTTTAAGTTTATGATTACAAAGTCAAGTGACAGTTGAATTATTTCCACAAAGCTAATAATTATTAGAATGAAAATAGCTTTATCTCATAATATAAGCACATTGAAACAAGACCAACGGTTAACTAGAGGACAACGTCCATGGCGCGGGGCTTCATGAGCCGAAGATTATCTATAATTGTATTCTGCAAAATAGGGTCCACAAACTTATACCGGCTAAAAGTATGTGTATATATATATATATGTGTGTGTATATGTATATGTATATATATTCTTGAACACTAAAAGGCTATACCCTATATCTTATGTGCCCGCTTATTCGTAGTTATAAAGGACTTGCACTTTTGAAATTGTGCTGCCAATTTGATTGGTCTAATAAGATAACAAGGTGTGCACTATAGTTAACAACCAAACTAGATAGTTACATTCTAGGAGGACTTGAATAGCTAGCATTACGTTTGATTGGTGTATTCGTGCAGTGATTTGAATTATAGTTCGTAATTTGTTATAGTATTTTTTTCACAAAAAACACACGCGAGAATAATTATAAATCCATGAACCAAACGTCCACGATGATTTATGTTTTTGAAAAAAGTTTAATTCATATGATTTTATCTGATTAGGGTAAGAGCGCATGATATCTCTAATTTGGGAACATCTTTCTGTTACAGGAATTTAAAAGTGTTTATTGTGAATTTGTTCAATCCACTCAACCCGAAACCAATTTGTACGGGTCGGGTTGGTTGGAAGGATTTTTAAATTGGAACGTGCTAAAAAATTTCTAATTAGAAGGTTTTGAATTGATTTGTGAATTAAGTATTTTTCAATTCACGAAATCTGTAAAATGTGAGTTATATATATATATATATTTCTCAACGTTATGTAAATGTTATGTTTATTTTAATTTTTAGTTTTAGAATGAATTCATGAGATTTGTGCAAAAATGGCCTCTCGATGGGCTTGAAATTAGAGGCTAAAGATGCTATGCTCAATCCAATACCTTTGGGTTGGGTTGTGGGACTTTTTAATGGACAATGAATTGGGAAATTTTCAATTTCATGGCTTTAGTTTGGTTTGTTTATTGACCCATAATTTGCTAAGCCTAATCCACCAACACCTCCTAAAGAATCTTTGTGAATGCCACTATAATAAAACATGTTAAGAATTATACAGCTCCAGTAGGAGTTAGAGTTCTTTCGCTTTAAAAGACTGATCAAAGGTCAACAAAAAATTCTTTGCCAAAATTAGCCTAGTCGGTTATCAATGTTGGCACTAGAGTAATATACTAGATTATTGTCAATAACTCAGATGACGCTAGAATCAACAATGACCACTAGTCGGGGCCAACAGCCAAAATAATTTGGGGAGAATGAGGGAAATAGGCCTAATTAAGAGAGAAATAAGAATTAATAGTCCAAAGTTTAGGATAGTTAATAAATGGAAGAAAGAGGAAAATATGCCAAGACTTGAGATGAATTAAAATTAATAGGTCAATAGTTTACATAAGTTAATAAATAGGTCAAATTACTGTTTTCGTCTATAACTTGTCTGGTTATGAACCATAACTTGACAAGTTATTGTCCATAACTTGTCTGGCTATGAACCATAACTTGACAAGGTTGTCCATAACTTATCTGGTTATAAACCATAACATGACAAGTTATGGCCTATTAATTTCTATAACTAAAAATTAATCTATATACTTTCTTAACCTTTTCATATTGGCCTATTTTCTACTATTTCCCTTAATAAATAGATCATTTACTGTTAATCTGGATTTATTAGCACTTAAATTTATAAAAATGTCCCCGTGTAAAAAAATTAAAATGATACCCACGAAAAAACTAAAATTCTCTCTCTTCTTGCGCTATCTCTCTCTCTCTACGTTCATTATACTCAGACTGTAAAATCAAGCAATTCATCAAACATCTACTACACAATCAGATTGTCTTACCCGGCACAAAGCAAAACCCAAACATTAATAGCCGATACAACTATTCAAAACAATAATAAACTTAAGAGATTCAAACTAAATGACAAATTAATTGTTCAGAACATAACTTATAAATTTACGGTTCGATCAACAATTTTTTTTTTCTAGCACAGATTGCTTAAAATACATATATTCAAATTATTCTAGAAATACCATGTTCTCTTCATGGCCACCACAGTACATGAGGTGCCGACTAACACTGAAGGCGGAGATCTAGAACGACGGCAAGAAGATCTGGATGCATATCAATGAAATTCGTCACCGTCGAAATGGCTTGCATTGTCTCGACTACACCGTTGTGAGTCTTTATGGTGAGGTCTGAGCTTAGATTTTACCAGAGGAGAGAAAGAGAAGTCAGGGAGGGTGGGAGAGAAGCAAGGAGAGCGGAAGAGAGAGAGAGAGAGGGAGCCGTTTGGTAACGAGAGAAGTCAATAGAGAGAGAGAGGGCTTCAGAAATAAAAGAAAAAAAAACCAACAAATCCTATAAAAAAGGTAAAATTGAAAGATAAAAGGTTTAAAATTGTAAATGGCCTATTTATTTCTAACACTCAGTAAATAAGTTATTTAGTTCTGCAATTTCCCAATAATTTTGCTACGTTAATATCAATACCGCCTCTCCCTCCATATAATATCTCTCATACGCCCCGCAGATTAGATTGCTATCTCTACTAAAATGTAATTATTCACCTGTCTGTTTGGCTCGCTTAGAGGAAAATCATTTTGAGAGAGATTATGGAAAACTTAGAGCAAAGTCACTTTTTAAGAGAGATTTTATTGAAGGTAGAGAGTTGAAATTTAGTTATTTCAATTATGCGCTAACTAAAATAGTTGTTGTTCAGTGGTTGATTAGGGCTCAGGCTGTCTCGTTATTTGTAGTGTCAGCTATTTTGACTGACTTTAACCGTTTAATCTCATAAATCTCATAATGCATATTCCTTTTTAAAAAAAAGTTGTCGTATAATTTTCACATTAAAACTGTTCAAATGAGTAATTAACGAGAGTTTTTCTGATAATCCCTATAAAAATAGATTATCAGTAGTCTTTTATTTTTTAATCTCTGTTTTATATATATTTTTTAATTTAATGTGATTTTAAATAAATCTAATAATTAAAAATTGAGGCTGCTGTTATCTAGAGCCAAATTTCCGTTCAAACAAAAATCCCAACAAGAGTGAAAAGTCAGGTCATGTGTTGGATTGGGCCAGCCGGCCCAGTTTTTCGAACTCATCAAAACCCCAAGGCAAAAAGTACCTCTCGTCTCCAAGGCTAATCGGTTACTAAAATCATCAGTGACTGAAACGTAAAAACCTTTTGCTAATAAGTTGAGTCAGTTCTGTTGTGCATTATATCCGTCAAATACCGAAAGTCCAAACCCAGAACAGGAAAAAGGGGAAAACCGAATCACTATCAGAAAAACCAAAATAATTTATATAAAACTGTACAATTTATTGAGCTTCCGAAAAGCACGTCAATCTTTCTATTTGTCTCATCAGATCGATCACTCCGTATTCTTCAGGTATACACAGTAAGTTTTTCGCATTTTCTCGTTTCTGGCTTTTCGTCCTCCTAAAATTAGGGTTTCTGATCGTGCGGTGATTTCCGATTGAACTTTTGAATTCTTTTTGGCGTTTTATCACAGGGAATCGGGAGCATGGATTTGGTATCTGGTTATAAGGTGATCACTTTTTTTCTTGCAATTCTCTTAATTTTCCGGGAAAATGAAAATTTTGGAACTGCTGTTAGCCAAGAAGAAAATTGAAAAATTCCGAATGTTTGAAGTGTTTATTGGACATTCTATTACTGTTTTTTTTTTTTGGTTCAATTTTCTGTGCAGGGTGTTGTTGGTCTCGTTTTTGGTAATGAGAGCTCTGGCTCAAATGAAGATAGGTAAATTTGAAGTTTGCTTTCATGAATATGGATATTGATTTAGAAGATTGGCAATTTGCAATTCATACTTTATAAGTATCTGAATCTGAAGAAAGAATGTGTTTAGCATTAACTTGGAAATTCAAGACTAGCTACTTGAAGAAAGCTTGATAATAAGATGACTTATATATTAGAATTTGGCTGGAGATAGTGGCATGATCCACCAATCCTCCCCTAATAAGCCGATTTTGCTAGGTTGAGTTAGGCCCAATATCCTTTGATTTCCGTAAAAACTTGCACAACTAAAAAATTTGAACTTTTCCTTTTTTGGTTATGAAAATTGTACTCACGGTCTGTTGTGTCGTATGAATAGCTACGTTGAACGCTTGCTTGACCGTATAAGCAATGGTAAGCTGGCAGAGGACAGGAGGAACGCTATGGTTGAGCTTCAATCTATTGTGGCAGAAAGTCGTGCTGCGCAACTAGCATTTGGTGCCATGGGTGAGTGTTTCTCTCTTGTTTTCCTATGGGGCTTTTCAGTTTTTATTTTAGATGGGTGTCTTGATGTGTTTCTTTCACTTTTGCAGGCTTCCCTGTGCTGATGGGCGTGTTAAAAGAAGAACGTGATGATGTTGAAATGGTTACTAATCTCTCTACCCCTTCATAATTAATCAGACATTCCATTCCGATTTTTATTTATTTATTCTTTTTTTTTTCAATAGGTCAATTTACATTTAGGACCTTTTGCTTGAAGAAAGTGGTAGGAGTCAACTTAACTTAGGATTTATATGGTGCAAAGTTCAGTAATGCAGGCTATATCTTCAGAGCCAGTTTTGGATGAAAAATTTAGATTGTGAAAAATCACGTTGTTAGAAATACACGTGTCAAAAAAACCAGATTTATGGAACGGATGTTGTTTATTATCTTTCTAGGGACTTGTTTGCTCCATGTATTCTGAAGAAATTAAAGCACATGTTTTGGTGTGGCGTTTCTATGCTGAATTCTATATTGCTCCTGAAAATAGTTTATGCCTTTGATTCATCTAGGTTCGAGGTGCACTAGAAACTCTTGTAAGTGCATTGACTCCTATTGACCAAGGAAAATCACAAAAGAATGAGGTTGAACCTGCTTTAATGAACACTGATTTGCTTTCCAGAGAAGCAGACAACATTTCACTTCTTCTGAGTTTGTTGGTGAGAATTCTCTACCTGATTCTGAAACACCCAGATCACATTTTACGTTAACTTATTTGATTGGCTCATGCATATAACTTCACTGCTTATTTCCTTGGACACTTCGACAGGCAGAGGATGACTTCTATGTGCGGTATTATACACTTCAAATTTTAACGGCTCTTCTCACAAACTCTCCAAATAGGTATTTGATATACAACTACCAACATTTTTTTCTTAAAATTTTATTTGTTCCTGAATAAACTTATGAATCTTCAAGTATTTCTGGAAAGAGCCTTTTCTGAGTTCATCTTCAGATTACAGGAAGCCATTCTTACCATTCCTCGTGGTATCACTCGATTGATGGATATGCTTATGGATCGTGAGGTATAAATTTTTCATAATGAATCAAAGACACTTTTGCTAATTGCTTTATTATTATTTTTTATTCTAAATTAAGTGATCTGCATGCTTTTCTATATTATAACTGTCAAGAGATATCCCTACTGTCTAAGATTCTTGTTTCTTGTTGTGCACCTTTACACGTGAAAACATTATAAGAACCTCTTGAAATTTTTGCTCTTGGAATCCTATTTGTTAAATATTGAGCACGCCTCTACCTGAAGTGTTACTCCCTCTCTCTCTCTCTCTGGGAACTTCAGGGTGGGGTTATTTGATTTCTAGACCCCAACATTTATGGCTAGGCTAATGCTGCAACCACTCTAGCTCTCTTTTTCAGTACCACTGCTAATTTTGTTTTTTCTTGTAGGTTATACGAAATGAGGCTTTACTACTTCTTACGTACTTGACTCGTGAAGCAGAGGTAACCTTTCTGTCTCTCGCGGCCATTATTGCATCTAATTCTTTGTCCTTTTGTTTTTGTTGAATCAATGATCAAAAGATGTGCTTGAAGTTAATGGTAATTGATGCCTTTTTCACGACGCCAGGAAATTCAAAAGATTGTGGTTTTTGAAGGTGCGTTTGAGAAGATTTTCAGTATCATTAAAGAAGAAGGTGGTTCAGATGGTGGTGTTGTTGTGCAGGTAATTGATTGTGACTCATTCTGTACTGGTACTTTACTCAGTTTGTTCGATTTATATGTGTGTGTGTGGGTGTGTGTGTGTGTATTATTGAAGTTTATGTCTATGTTGTAATATCCATGTAGAATGATAAACTTAGCTGGTTTAAGTTGTTGGGTTCTTTTATTTTTTATTGGATTTTTAATTGTCTCCCCTTTTGGTAGTAGGGTTATAAAATGATAATTCTTTGCATGGCATGTAAGATAAGTAAATTTTCCCTCGTTTTCCTTTTTCCCATCGTAGAGTTTAGTAGCCATGTGCTTAGGTTTTTGTAGATTGTTTGACCTTTGACTATTGTCTCGACAGTTTTATTCCTGTTTACGTTGATGGTGTAATGTTTCTGATCCCTGAAATATGCTGATTCATTATGGTAGAGCATAGATAGAGCCTTTACCAGTGACAATCTTATTTTTTCTTTTCAAGGCTTTCTGTTTTTATACACGAACACTTTGACTAAGGACTCCTTTTATTTAGAGAATTTCGGTAGACACATTTATGGTTATGTCGTCACGCCTAGATGATGCAGATACTAGGATCATAGAATTTTGTGTCAGAAAATGATGCATGTTTCCATATTTTTAGATTAAATATTTATGTAGAAGTAGTTATAGCTGTAATTAATTCTTCTTAACTTTAATGTTGAAAAGCATCTGAAAATTTCTGAATATTTTGTATTGGTACTAATTATATCCTTTTACTCAGGACTGTCTTGAATTGCTAAACAATCTTCTGCGTAACAATGCATCCAATCAGGTTTGTCGCCCTCATTACTTTCATTGTCACTCTTTAGATTCCTTGCTATAATTTTAACATAAATAAATTTTTTGATTCAGATATTACTGAGAGAGACAATGGGGTTTGATCCCTTATTGTTAATTTTGAAGTTACGAGGAGTTACATACAGTTTCACGCAACAAAAGGTAAGGTTATCTATTGTTTCTAACTCTATAATGTAGACATTGCATTTCTGTTGCACAAGGCTTACGTGTAATCTCTTGTTGTCTTGAAACAAACATGATGCCAGTAGACAATTAATCTACTGAGTGCGTTAGAAACCATTAATTTATTGATTATGGGAGGTTCGGAGGCTGATCCAGGGAAAGAGGCAAATAGGCTGACAAATAAAACAACCCTTGTTCAGGTTTGTTATGAAGCTATTATTTTCCATAATTAGGGCGGTCAAAAACTATCAATGTGTTAAAATATTTTGTATTTTGTTGTGTTGGCGTAGAAAAAAATGTTGGACCATCTTCTCATGTTGGGTGTTGAAAGCCAGTGGGCTCCTGTTGCTGTTCGTTGTTCGGTAAGATAACTATTCCAGTCCTTCATAATCTTACACTGTATCTGTATCTTGCACACACGTGTTCTAATGCCATTTATTTACAAACTGGCAACGAACTGCAGCCTGAGTCAAAAGCTAAACTCTTAATCCAATGTTTTTGCTCATCCTAACTTGATTGAATGTGTAATTCCCTAAGTCTCTTCCCCCTAATATTTAACTTTTGCATTATTTCTGGATAAATATCAACTTTCAAATGGAAAATGGAAAATTTGTTATTTTGTTTACATGCGGTGTTTGGCACTACAACTCATGGTAGGTAGGTCCCACATGCGGGACCTTACCCTTGTGAATAGTGGTGTCCGGCGGACTGACAGTACTAATGCCTACTAGCATTGTTCTGCCATGCAGAAAATAAGTTACTTTTGTTGGATTTGGAGTATATTTATTCTGTCGGTTCCCCAGCTCTTATGATATCTTCTGGAATGCATGTTGGCATTGCTCTGTCTGGCATCAAAGATTTTGTAATACAGTCTAAATGCTTATTATGTACTTTGTTTTACATATGCCTTTCTGAGTTGTGAACTGCTTTTTGGACGAAGGTCGTTGTATTATCATCTGGACAAAGACTTGCATGCTCTTTTCTTTTATCACATAATTTTGTTTATTTTTCTAATCCGCGTATGGAACGTGCCCTTTATGCTGTCTTAGTTGCTTACACACCTTTATTTTTCTTTATGTTAAGACATTGTTATCTTTGGGAAAATTATCATCTTAGTGAAATGCTTATTCACTTCATAGTTGGAATAATATGGTGTCAACCTCTTTTTTGTACATTATATTACACACACACACACACGCATATTATATTTGTATGTTCGTACCTACCCATGCCTGGCCGTCTTAATGCAGTGCAACTCTGATACGCTTTAATCTGTTTATGACGTACCAGGAAAGATTATTAAGTTATGTATGCTTAAAAGTTTATTCACATTCTCAGGCATTACGATGCATTGGTGACCTTATTTGTGGACATCCCAGAAACCTTGAGGCTCTTGGAAGCAAAATTCTTGGGGAAGGACTGCAAGAAGCTGCTTTGAACTCAATTCTGCGGATTATCTTGAGGACTTCTAGTACACAAGAGTTTGTTGCAGCTGATTATGTTTTCAAGAGCTTTTGTGAGGTTGATAATACATTTCATTCTTCATTTTGTTCAACTATTTGAGATTTTATTTTAGCTGATCATTATCATTTGGATTTTTTAGTATGATGTGTGTATTTTACTGAATTAATTTGAATTAGAAAAATGCTGATGGGCAAGCCATGTTGGCATCAACGTTAATTCCTCAACCGTATTCCATGACTCATGCTCCACTTGAGGAGGATGTGAACATGTCCTTTGGAAGGTATGTTTATCCAAGATGCCTTATTGATTTGATTTTGTTGCAATATTTCCACTATTCTTCCACATCAGGTTTACTTTGGTTATTATTCTGTAATTATGCCATTCTTTATGCTGTTTTAGCTAGTCGAAAGAATACATTCGGTGATTAACTTTGTTAAACTCTAATTCCATTGCAGAATGCTACTACAAGGTCTTACTTTGAGTGAAAGCGATGGAGATATTGAGGTAATTTAATGCATTACTGACAAAGTTTGAAAGACTGGAATATCTGGTCCATGTAGCTAATATTTCGATTCAAAGTGCAGACTTGCTGCAGTGCTGCTAGTGTTCTTTCTCACATACTCAAGGACAATATCCAATGCAAGGAAAGGGTATGCAATTTCATTATTCTTTATATCAGTCGACTTGTCGAACTTTGTCTTGTCTGGGCTCATTTAAGTGGCCCAACAAATCCCTAACCATTTCGCGTTCCATTATTTTCTAAATTGTGTATCAAGTTAAAGCTTGTCCAGAATGTGATGAAGAGTTAGTTGCACTTTTTTCTTTCCTTTCCTTTCCGGAATCTTCTTTCTTATGGGAAAAGACGGCCCATTCAATGATATAATATTATGAGATGTTTTGCAGGTTTTGCGAATTGAACTTGAGGCGCCCATGCCATCCTTAGGTGCTCCTGAGCCACTTATGCACCGCATGGTAAAATATTTGGCTCTTGCCTCTTCCATGAAAAACAGAGATGGGAAGTCGAACGCATCAGGGAACTTGTATGCCCAACCAATTATTTTGAAATTGCTGGTGACCTGGCTTGCTGACTGTCCTAATGCAGTAAACTGTTTCCTAGATTCACGTCCACACCTTACATATTTGATTGAGTTGGTGGCAAATGAATCCGAATCAGTGTGCACAAGGGGGTTAGCTGCCGTTATTTTGGGAGAATGTGTAATCTATAATACATCACCTGAAGCTGGTAAAGATGCTTTCTCAGTAGTTGATATGATAAGCCAGAAAATTGGGCTCGCATCTTACTTTCTGAAGTTCGATGAGATGCAAAAGACGTACCTTTTTGCTTCTGCAAGCGCAGCCCAACCCCGCAAATCACTTACAAGATCTACTGCTGCTAGTATGGCAGATATTGAAAATGTTGATGAAAACTACTTACCTGATGGGAAAAATGATCATCCCATTCTGTCATCAATCTTTGATTCTCTTTTTGTTACTCTAGTTAAGAGCCTGGAGGCAGATATTAGGGAAAAAATTGTTGATGTTTACAGTCATCCAAAGAGCAAGGTAGCTGTGGTGCCAGCTGAACTGGAACAGAAAAGTGGGGAAAGTGAAGCTGAGTATATAAAGCGGCTGAAAGCATTTGTGGAAAAGCAATGTACTGAGATACAGGTATTGTTGTTGAAAGATCTTCTGCTTTCAGTTCTAAGTATTTCTTATGAAAGTTATGAGACTATGTTTTGACGTTTCGGCATTTCTTCTAGGATCTTCTTGGTCGGAATGCAATAAAAAAAGCATTCCTTCTAGGATCTTCTTGGTCGGAATGCAATTTTGGCCGAGGACCTGGCAAAGAGTGGTGGGGGCAGTAATTCCCATTCTGAGCAGAGAGTGGGTGGGGCCGCAGATAGGGTCCAAGTGGAGACACTTAGACGAGATCTAAAAGAAACAACTCAACGGTTGGAATTGCTCATGGCTGAGAAAGCCAAGGTTGAATCAGATGCATCCATGTACCAGAACTTAGCCAGCAAGATCGAATCTGACTTGAAGAGCTTATCTGATGCTTACAACAGTCTTGAACAAGCCAACTTCCATTTGGAAAACGAGGTGAAAGCTTTGAGGGACGGAGGGCCTTCGACCTTCCCCGATGTCAAGGCAATAAAAGCCGAAGCGAGGGAGGAAGCCCAGAAAGAGAGTGAAGCAGAGCTGAATGATTTGCTGGTGTGCCTTGGGCAAGAACAGAGCAAAGTAGAAAAACTAAGCGCAAGGCTATTGGAGTTGGGAGAGGACGTGGACAAACTGCTTGAAGGTATTGGGGATGATGTCGGACTTCCTGAAGATAGTGAAGAGGAGGATGAGTAATGCAAAATTGTGCTCATGAATGAATTGGCTTCTGTTTTTACTTCGTTGCTTTTGTCTTCCTCTCTCCATGTACATTTGTTGTTGAACTGTACAGTTACAAATTTGGGATGCTCAAATTCTGGATCTAACTTTTTTTTCTTAACCTGGTTTTAATTGTTATTTATTCACATTGTTACCGGATCATTTGGCTTTCTTTTTTCTTTTTTTCTTTTTTCTTCTTTCAAAAAGGAAGATTATACAATACTCAATCATTTGGCTTTCTTCTTGACAAATGCTTCAAAGTGTGGTTCTTGATAACCTCACCAAACTCAAAGCATCCACATTAAGAATCCGTGGACCACATGTTCAAAGTATGGCGGTTTTAATTTACAGCCAAAACCGTATGAAAGTGTTAGTGGGCAGCTAATTTTTCTGGTTTGATTGGTTTAAACCATCGCATTATTATTAGAAATTTCACCAAAAATTCCTTTTTCAGTAGAATCAATACGTACTGTTGTTTTTGTTGTTTCAGCTGTCAGTTTATTTTCTCGACTATCTAATCTACTAATGAAAGATTTTTGTGTTGCACATTACAAATTTTAGCATGTACACTAAAAAGATTAATTCAACAACTAAAAGATGAGTCCCGTAAATCATTAATTCTGATATAATAGTTTTTTGTTATAAAAAATTTAAATTTAAAACATCAAAATTAAAAATCATAAATTGATTATACCTTTGATTGATTACGACATGATCCATTATCGTACTGTTTTCAGAGAAAAAGTGCAGTGTGATGAGAAAGACGTGAATGCGACAAACCAAATGGCCTTTACATTTTTAGATAGGACCAAGATCCAGAGTTAGACTCCCTATAAAAAATACTCCTCATTTAGAAATATTCTTTTTAGCGCTCAAAAAAAAAAAAAAAAAAAAAGCAATCGGAAGATGGACCAGACTACTTCTTCTTCTTCATCTTCTTCTCCGACAATCGAGCACAGAGCGTACGCGAGAGTGGGCTTTCTGGGTAACCCCAGCGACGTCTACTTCGGCCGTACAATCTCCTTCTCTCTCGGAAATTTCTGGGCTTCCGCTCAATTACACCCTTCTCACCATCTCACCATTACTCCCCACCCCACCCACGATCTCGTCAATTTCAAATCTCTTGACCATTTGGTAATTTTTCTATTTCTTTATTATTATTGTTATCATTGTTCTTCTTTGATTGCTTTTTCGTAATAATGTAATGGGCATGCACGCAATGTTTTTGATATTGATCCACGATCATGGAAAATCAAGATCTGGGTTTTCGTTTTTGGGTTGAGGAGTGAGTTTTATAATTGGATTGGATTTGTAATTATGAACAGGTGGATCGGCTGGACAGTGAAGGTTATTATGGCGGTGTGCGACTTCTTATGGCTATTTGTAAAGGGTTTCGTAACTATTGCAAGGACAACAATATTGATCTTCATGGGGGGAATTTCACTCTCTCATATGATACCAATATCCCTCGTCAGGTTTGTTCTGATTCTTGTTCTTTGTAAAAGCTTTACATTTTGGTTATTGGGATTTGGATTTTTTAGAAAGAAAGTATCGTTTTTTGAGTTTTCAGGCAGGACTTTCAGGTTCTAGTGCTATTGTATGTGCTGCCTTGAGCTGCCTTCTTGACTTCTACAAGGTTAGGCATTTGATCAAAGTGGAGGTCCGGCCTCAACTTATCCTCAATGCAGAGAAAGAACTTGGAATTGTTGCCGGTCTCCAAGATCGGGTTGCCCAAGTTTATGGAGGCCTTATTTACATGGTAACAAGAATGAAAAATATCTTCAATATTTCCATAAAATGATCAGACCTGGATTTTTTTTTTTTTTTTTTTTTTTTTAAGATAATGAAATATGAAATATGAAATATACATAAACCAAAGACTCATCTTAAAAAAATAGTGATGCTATATCCGTCGTATTGATATTTAAATGTCGATCTTTTAACCTTGCAAGGTATGCTTGCTCGCGATTTCAGTACATGACTGGTTGTATAACATGATTTGTAAATGTGAGAACTTTCTGTTTGATTTCAGTATTTTTCTTTCCTTTTCTAGGATTTCAGCAAGGAACACATGGATAGATTGGGGCATGGTATTTATACACCAATGGATATCGATCTCCTGCCACCTCTCCATCTTATCTATGCTGAAAATCCAAGTGATTCTGGGAAGGTTAGAATATGTAATCTATTTGGGGTTTGGAGGGGTGGATTTCTTACTTTATAGTGTAGAAGAGTGAAATGTTTGTGGAATTGAGAAACGTGCAGGTACACAGTACGGTTCGGCAAAGGTGGCTCAACGGTGATGCGTTTATAATATCATCAATGAAAGAAGTTGCAAATGTAGCTGAGGAGGGAAGGAAGGTAATACTTGAAAAGGACTACTCAAAACTTGTGACTCTGATGAACCGCAATTTCGATCTTAGAAGGTAACGTCTAGTTCGTTTGTTGGGAGCAACTATTTAGTTACTCCCACCGAGAGTGATAAATGTTGTTCTTCTGAAGAGATTTACACACAAATCAGTCTTTCTTAAGTCGAGACCATGATGGTTGTTTAGAATTTTTTTTTTCCGAGGGTTTTATGGCTACTAAATGGTGGTATTTGGATGCTGTTCAGGAGCATGTTTGGAGATGATGTTCTTGGCGCTTTAAATATAGAAATGGTGGAAGTAGCCCGAAGGGTGGGTGCGGCGTCAAAATTCACAGGCAGTGGGGGAGCTGTCGTTGTGTTCTGCCCTAATGGACCCTCACAAGTGAAGCAATTAGAGGATGCATGTCAGAAAGCTGGCTTTAGAATTGAGCCAATAAAATTTGTTCCTTCTCTACTGAATGAGGTTGATCTCAAAACCCTTTGAAGATACGAAATTGTTCCAAGCTCATGTTTTTTGGTTCTGGTTTGGCCACACCCCGTGTCCACATTCATTCCCTGCTTATTTTGGTCTCTAATATAATAATAATAATAATAATGGAGTACTTTCTTTTCATACTAATAGCAATAAGAGGATGATATTTCTTAATTGTGCATATACCGCGTAGAGAAACTTGATTCAAACGTAGTAGTTCTTAATGTGAGTTCTTTATACTGAAACTTGGTGGAGCGCTTAGTTTTCCCACTCACTCTTGGGAATGTAATTGCATTGTCGGCCAAACGAAATTAAAATATCCCTTGAGGACCTAAAGAAATTACTCGATAATATTTGCTAGTGAAAAAGCGATTGATAATAAGAGACTAAATAGTCCTACAACCGCTTTGATAGCAGAATAAAAGGAGACACTAGGCCATTGCTCACCATTCAAAAGCTTTAAACAGGAATTCAGTCGGGAAAAAAAAGAAAATAAGAAAAAGAGCACTTAAAAGGAAAAAAAAAATAAGCAAACGGGAAATCGCCATTTAAGATGTGCTTTTGGGATCAATAGGTCAGCTAATTTTCTGCCTAAATAGGCAACGCCTAAATTGGTTCGTTTGCGGAGACGCTGGCTAAAGCAAGCATGACAAATCTAGACAATGGCAGGTTTTTGTTGCTAGATAGAGAACAGATAATGACGAGCATTAAAAGCTCTTGACATGAAAAACCAGATTCTATGAAGCTTCTCATTATAACCCATTTCTCTCACTTGCAAATTTATAAAGCAGCATTATACATTATAAGAATGAAAGTGAAATCCGTAATCAAAAGAAATGACTTGAATTAAACTTTAAGAAAAAAATTTTAAACAAGCATTCGGGGGTTTTCCCAAACACCATTTTTCTAAAGTGACCCGAAACTTAACTTTCAGCCGCAATGAGACCTGTCATGATAATATTGATTGGAAGTTGGAACAACTAATAAGCATAAGAAGATTATACTCTGTACTCACTGGAAATGCAACTTTTAACATGCAATCTTCTAATAGCTACTTCTGGATTTCCATTAAAGACGTTCTCGTACAAAACTGAAATTGAATGCAAACATAATGAGGAAGTTTAAAGGCAGACTTTGAGAAATTGACAAGTATATACAGCCTACTATTGCAGGCCACAAAAAGAAAAAGGGGGGAGGGGGTACATCATGGTACAAGGCTTAGCACTCAGAATCAATGCTCAGTTCAAGTTGCACTAAACCAAATGGCTGAAAAAGAAAGAAAAAAAAAACGAAACTTCTACATGACAGTAGATTACAGTAAGGTTTTACGCACTAAAGATTACTTCTGCAGATAGGGATCACCAATTGCAGTGGAACACTCAAATACAAAATCTCATTCAAGAGAGCCAAAGGAAATTCTCACTAATAAAATGAACTCACTGATCACAAAGCGACGCTAAAAGCTCCCGCGGCGAAGCTGGTAAATCTCATTTAAAGGCAGACTTTGAGAAATTGACAAGTATATACAGCCTACTACTATTGCAGGCCACAAAAAGAAAAAGGGAGTTGGAGGTACATCATGGTACAAGGCTTAGCACTCAGAATCAATGCTCAGTTCAAGTTGCACAGTTTGCTCACCCTCATTTAGGAAAATGCATGGTTAGATTAATTACAACTTTCCACTAAACCAAATGGCTGAAAAAAAAAAAAAAAAAAAAAAAAAAAAAAAAAACGAAACTTCTACATGACAGTAGATTACAGTAAGGTTTTACGCACTAAAGATTACTTCTGCAGATAGGGATCACCAATTGCAGTGGAACACTCAAATACAAAATCTCATTCAAGAGAGCCAAAGGAAATTCTCACTAATAAAATGAACTCACTGATCACAAAGCGACGCTAAAAGCTCCCGCGGCGAAGCTGGTAAATCTCATTTAAAGGCAGACTTTGAGAAATTGACAGGTATATACAGCCTACTATTGCAGGCCACAAAAAGAAAAAGGGGGGAGGGGGTACATCATGGTACAAGGCTTAGCACTCAGAATCAATGCTCAGTTCAAGTTGCACAGTTTGCTCACCCTCATTTAGGAAAATGCATGGTTAGATTAATTACAACTTTCCCCTAAACCAAATGGCTGAAAAAAAAAAAAAAAAAAAACGACACTTCTACATGACAATAGATTACAGGAAGGTTTTATGCACTAAAGATTACTTCTGCAGATAGGGATCACCAATTGCAGTGGAACACTCAAATACTAAATCTCATTCAAGAGAGCCAAAGGAAATTCTCACTAATAAAATGAACTCACTGATCACAAAGCGACGCCAAGAGCTCCCGCGGCGAAGCTGGTAAAGCCCATATGGGGAGTTCAATCAAAGACTGATTTGCCTCTTCCTCATGCGCATTACACATAGCTTCTGCTATGTCACAAAGATTACAAGCATTTATAATAATTGCTTCCTGAGCTTCTACCTGTACAGTGAAGACCCCATAATCAGATCATGTCTGAAAAAGTGAATCAATTTGAAGAATTTTCCTACTGGGCACAACAGTAAACAATTTTTCCGGATTCCAACTCTTTCACGCGCTATAAAGTCAGAACTTTATAACAACCAAAAGCAAAAGGGATTGAAATTGTGAAGCTTTAAATGTTGGGATTGAAAGAACCACTTGGTTCTATTACAAGGACTGCTTAATCTTTTTGGTGCCATTTCTCATCTTGAAGATTCCATTTTCTTCTTACTCGTTTACTATTTAAAGGGCAATGTTTTGACAACATTCAAGAAATAAACACAGACGAAAGAAATCAGTAAGAACATTCTTCATCAACAAGCGAAAAGAAAAAATCTAAAATGGCTAGCAGAAAAGTTAATGCAAAGAGATTCTTATTAACACATTATGTATTATTGTACAGAACCCTAAAATCATAACTTTATTTCCAATCTTAGCTTAAATTGAGTCCCCAAATGATCGAATTGCGCACAATTCAGCACACATTTTGCCCTACCAATGCACCATTTCTAAAATCCCCAACTCCTTCCTCTCCGAACATTCTCCCAAACCCAACAAAAATTTACCTGCAAGAGAAGGTCGTCCAGGAGCAACCCACAAGCTGGCTCCTCCATTCCGGGCAGAGCCTCCACCGGCGGCGACATCTCCGACGACGCCGTCCGACCCCGCTGCAGTTGGAGATGGCGCGTGGTGTCCTCCATTGCACACAACGTGTTTGACAAATACTCCCACTGAGCGATCTCCGTCTGGTAGCGAGCCTTGAGCTTGGAAAGCGCCTTCCTCTTCCGGTCTCGCCGGTTCAACTCGTCGGCCTCGGGATCCGGACCGGTCTGAGCCCGCGGTAACGGCGGGTCGTTGAGAGAGCGCCGCTTTCTGCGCTTGTAGACGAAGCCATCGTCGTTGCAGAGCTCCCAATAGTCGTCTTCCCAAGGCGGTGCCGTCTCCATTGCTTGCGAGAGCGAAAACCAGAAACGGAAATTTGAGCAAAAAATATAATAAAATAAATATATGGAGAAAACGACAACAATTTTCAAAAAAGTGTGAAAGAGACGAGGGAGCGAGAGAAAGAGTGGGTGGTCGTGTCTGATAAGTTTTTTCTAGGACCGCAGAATGCTCGTTCTTCTTTTAAAAATCGCGGCTTAAAATTTTTTTTTTCCTTACTAATTGCAAGTTCATGCTATAAATTCAAGCAAAACAAAGAAAAAAAAAGTTTATGCTACTAATTAATTATTTTTCTTTTCAAAAGGATTAAAATGGATAACTATTATTTTTATGGCTCTTTTTTTTTAAAAACTTTTTATACAGCCTGAGGCTTATGGCTTCTACTTTATTTAAGAAACAAAACTATTAAAACTTACATTTAGTTTATGAGTTTAGATTAGTGATTTTGATTTTAATTTTTAAAATTTAAATTTTTTATAAAAAAATACTATAACAAAATTAATAATTATAATTTAAATCCCGCGTAATCGTTAAAACAAACCAACTTTAAAATTCAATTTAGACGATGAGAGTTATACAAAAGAAATGTTTTTTTTTTTTATCTTAGACATGGGAAACTTCCTAATTCTGTTAATGCAGGCTGGAGGGAAATTTTTTTTTATTGTTATTGGCCATAAACCTCTAAAATTTCTTAGGTCAAATAAAGGAGAAAGTTAAGTGTAGACAACTCCTATTGCGTAATTATATTTTTGTAAGGTTGTATTAAGAGGAGCTAACATAGTAATTATTAACCAGCACTCATTATATGTGTAATACGTGTTAATTTTGTTAAAAATTTTAATAATAAGGATTTCGTTTGTTAATATTTTATAATTAATGCAGTACAAAGTAGTTATTAACCAGCCCTCATTATATATGTAACAAGTGTTAGTTTTGTTAAAAAACCTAATAATGAGGAATTCGTTTGTTAATATTTTATAGTTAATGCAGTATAGATGTTATGTTTTGAAGGTTGGTGACACATTGTTACGAGACAATAACTGAAAGGGAATTTTTACATTTCACACGGTATTTTTTACCAAGATTTTAATATTTGAGGAAAACTTGCAAGGATCACTAATTTGACAAGAAAAAGAAGTTAAAATTAAAATTAAAGTTTATTTTCAACATACCTATTCTTTTAAAATTTATAGTTATTATACCATGTGGCTGTGTTATCTCTATCAATTTTATAAATATTTGGCCATTTGGATCATTCGAAAAAAAAAAAAAAAAAAAAAAAACAGAGAATTGAGGGGTAATTTACGATACGTTAATGTAACCGTGTTACTAAAGCCAGTGGGCAGTGGGTGCTACAGAAGAAGAAGAACATTCCAAATTGCCAATGGCTAGATCATTCTCTCTCACCCATTATGTCTCCATCGTCTTTCTTCGTCCAACACTTCCGAACGTGTCCACCTCGAGAACACACTTTCTCTCACTACCACTCCCAAACCTTAAACTTCTCAAAACACCCATTTCTTCCATTTCTTCACTATCATTCTGCACCAACACCAGATACCCACTTCAGTACGACATGATCCTCCACCGCCCAACTCAATCCTCACTCGACCGTCGACCCGCCCGACTCGCCCGGTCCACCTCCCCGGAGCCGGAGAATCCCTCGTCGGAACTGGGGCTCGAGGGATGGGTCGACCGGAAACTCGGCGATTCGGAGAGTCCTCCCGAGGCTGCCATGGACAAGGCCAAGAGAAAGTACTACAACAAGAGGCGAAGGAGAATGTATGGAACCGACGATTCCGACGAAGAGAATAGGAGAAACGAAGATGGGTTTGTGGAGTTGAGGCCGGAGGTTGTGGACTTTCCGAGGCTGCACAAGAGAGAGGAAGAGCTTTACTTTTACGATACTTTTGCTTATCCATGGGAGAAGGAGAAGCATTACAAGATGGTTTACCAGTTGGAGAAGAAGTACTTCCCTGACCAGTGTCTCGACAAGGCGTTTCTTGAGCCTGGACAGTCGGGAAATGTTGAGGAGAAGAACACGAAGAAGAAGAAGAAGAGAAGTGGGGATGATGGTGAGGAAATGGGTGATGATAAGAGGCTTGTTTTCTTTGAGGAGGAGAAGAGAGAGAGAGAAGCAGTGAAGGATGGTGGTGGTGGTGGTGGTGGTGTTGTTACGGAGAAGAAGGTGGAAGAGTTCTTTAAGTGTTTGAAGAAAGTCCCCAATAAGGATAATGCTGAGACTGGCAATGAGGAACCTTACCTTTTGACCAGGACTACGGAGCTTCCTCCGAGATGGGACTCTCCCAATGGGACTGTGGTCTTAGTCAACAAGCCCAAAGGTAATAACACAAAAAAAAAAAAAAAAAAAAGAACTTTGTCAATATGGATTATTATATGGAGCTTTTTACTGCAGGGTGGTGCATGTGTCTTTGGTCAAAATTATATTGAAACGAAAAAGTATACAAAACTAACCGAACGCGATGCACATTTTATGGTTCAAAACAGAGTCTCGTGTTAAAGGTGCAAATAAAGTCTCATATTGGTAACAAATGAGAGCCATGATGGGTTTATAACGGAGTGGGCTACTCCACTCACTAGGTTACCCTTTTGAGTTATCCCAATCCTTTATGGTGGAACCCATGGTCCTAACATCTTGCAGTACCGCCACTGTAAAAACTTTCATTTATATAGGATTGTGATTGTTTTGCTTCGAAATCCACTTAAATTATGTGTTTAGTCAAGTGATCAACAAAAACTTAGCTAGCAAATAAAATGCTTTTCTCTAGTTATAGTCAGGAAATATCATTATGCCATGATAAGACTCTTTGTTTCTGTTTCATAATGTCTAATTCGCATAGCAATCTATATGCTGTTTATTTGGTTGTTTGGTTTACTTTTGAAACTTTCATCTAGATATGCTTCTCCTTGATATTTTCCTGATGTTAGAAGGTCAACAAATCATGAATTATATAATTTTACATTTGGCAAAAGGTAATGGAAATGTATTGTAATGCAGGATGGACTTCATTTACGGTTTGCGGAAAGTTGCGTCGACTCGTGAAAGTGAAAAAGGTTCTTTTAAGCTATTGGATAGGCATGCAGATACCTTCCGTTAAATGCTCCTCTAAATGATTGTTTGATGGTGTTACAGGTGGGGCATGCTGGAACTCTTGATCCAATGGCAACTGGTTTATTAATTGTTTGTGTTGGTAAAGCAACTAAATCGGTAGACAGGTGTGTCTAGGAAATGGTCTTATATACTTCGTTTAATCTTACTTACCTTGCTGGAATTCTGAAAACAAGCTTAGCACGTTCCATCTTATCAAGCAACTAGTTAGAATTTTGTCTCAGTAGGATTTGCATATTTCTGACTACAGATATCAAGGTATGATCAAGGGATACAGTGGGGTTTTCCGTTTAGGCGAGGCTACTTCTACTTGGGATGCTGATTCACCGGTTTGTTTACTTTGTTTTGAATGACAACCGTTGTTCCTATCTTAATTTCTCTGCACAATGTTTGTGTAATTGTGTTTTTATCACTGAAATTGTGATGATTATTATGAATTTTATTTTACAGGACTGCTACAGTTTCTGTTTTTAGTTTCAAATTTGTAAGTATGTATGGTCTTAAGTCTTACTCGAGCACCATTCTATTATATAGGTCATTCAGCGTGAACCTTGGGAGCATATCAAAGACGAGGACATAAGGAAAGCGGCAGCATCCTTTTGTGGAGAGATTTGGCAAGTACCTCCGATGTTTTCTGCAATCAAAGTAAGTTATGCCGCTCTTAGTAGTCACACAGTAGAAGCGGATATGCATTGTTGACTACCTGTAATGCTTTATTTTTGCATATTACTCAGAAGACAATTGGTATTGATTTAGATCTATTCATAATGATTTTGCAAGGAATTTAAGTTATCATTAGTAACTTAGTTATAGTGGCTAAAAGGTCCATGTGGGGCTAAGGGTTTTAAGATTATTGATAAGTTACAATATTTGTGGCATTTTCCAAGTAAAACGAAACCATCGTGCAACAATCAGAGCAGTGGGCAACAAGCTGGGTATTCAGCCAGGTCATCTATGTGTTTTGGGGAGCTATATGGCATAGAAATTTCACACCAACTTCAATTTTTCTTTATAGTGCCGTGGAGGCTGATTAAACCTAAGATTTTGGCACTTTTTAACTCTTAGATCAAGGCTCACAATTTTTTATACCTGCAATTCGATAATACTAATGAAAAAATTGAGTTGGTTCCTCACTTCACAGTAAAATAATTTATTAATTTAAACAAACAGCATCTTTTACTTATAGGGATTCCGTTTATTTCCTCACCACTTTTCCTAATCTTCTGACAGGTTGGAGGTGAAAAGATGTATGAGAAAGCTAGAAGAGGTGAAAGCATTGAGCTTTCACCGAGACGAATTTCGATCTTCCAGTTTGACATTGAGCGTAGTTTAGATGACAGGTAGGCATTCATCTTATAACTACAGGGTTATCCAGTAGAGCTTATTGCCTTAAGCAAAAATATGGTTTATGGGAATTATGAGGAACATTTTTCATTGGGACTACACAGCTTAGATGCTAATAGATACAGCCCAACTATTTTTTTCAAGAGAAATGTACATGGTTTGCCATGGTTTTGTGCAGGCCTATTATTCATTCTAAATAATTGTGTGTCATTATGGCCTTTTGTTTTCTCCTTATTAATTGAATGGTAATTGTTTATTTTTAAGTGGAGTGGCATTAATAATATCTTTTTACCATCTTAAGTGGTATTTCTGGTTTTTTTCCATTTTTCGAATTCTAAACACTTGATCAACAAGGTTTAGATGAATCCAATATTGGGTAATCCAAAAGTACTTGGGTATGATATTTGAGGTCAAGAAGTCGAGCCCACTGAATTAGAAGTTGTGAGGCCTGATGTGCTTTGATTTGATGTTTGCAGACAAAATTTAATTTTCCGGGTTATATGCTCTAAAGGGACATACATTAGGTCGCTATGTGCGGATCTTGGAAAGGCTCTTGGAAGGTATACCCTTATGATAAACAACGTTTTCTCACTTTAAAATCGACCTCTTCTTTCATTGCTATTTCTGGAGATATCCACTATATGGTTAACCATATGCTTTGATTCTAACATTCTCATACTTCCTCACTTGCAGTTGTTCTCATTTAACTGCTCTTCGCAGAGATTCAATTGGTATTAGCCCTTCTTCATTCTTTACTTCATATAAGCTTTGCATTCGAATGTTATTTTCCCTCCTTTTTTTTTTAAACTGTGAAAAAGCTCCTTTCTTTTCTTTTTCTTTTTACCATAGGAAGCTATTTAGATGATTTTTCGTTTTAAATTTTTGTAAATGATTAAAAATATTGAATAAGAAGAAGAAAGCTTGACGGTGCATAAGAAGGGCTCACGTGAATTTTGAGGAAGAAAAACAAAGGCAAGGCTTTCACTATGCCTCTAGGATTGTGTATTTGTGTAGTTAGTTATAACTTCTCATTGTGAGATGATTGGATTGATGATAAAACAGAATCTTAGGTCTCGAGGGTTGATTCGGTTAATGATAAAGAAATAGAATTTTTGGTTCAGTTTTTTATCTTTAACAATCGAAAAAGGATTGTTTAAACACTGTTGGCTCCGACTTATAGTGCTCATTTCTCAAAGAATAACTCTGATGATCAAATGATTGAACAACGGGGAGCAATTTAGGTTGTGTTCATTTCACCGATTCGAGTTTTGCTACAGTAAAAAACTCTCAGAAACAGTCACATCTAAATTTTTTGATACAGTAAAAAGCTCACATAAAATCACATCTCAACTCGAATAAAAAACTCGAATCAGCGAACTAAACGGGCCTTAGTTACAGTAGTTGGTTGACATTCATTGGAATAGTCGCTTATATTTTCATCTGTATTCCAAAATGAGAAAGAAGCGGATGTGAATTGTGAAGTTGAAAAAGCATTTTGTTCATTGTCATTTGCTTTCTTGCCCCTACTTTTGTAGGTGAATATTCTGCAGATGATGCTTGGGAATTTAAAGAGCTGGAAGAAGCGATTAGCAAAGCTTATTTCTAGCTGAGGATTGAAGTCGAAGTCGATGTCTGAAATCTGCCAGTCCCAATTAACTTTTATCTACAACAAGCAACACAAGAGGTTCCACCGATTCTGCAGCTTGGAATGAATGATGTTTCACTTTTCATTTGTTTCTTTTCACTAGTGTTGTTATTATTTTTATTATTATAATTATTTGAGGTAATAGTGTTATTATTATATTGACAAATGTCGTTTGCTAGGGAAAAAATTATACAGTTGTGTATAAATAAGATGAGGGAAGTCATTCATTCATAACCAACATATATCGTGTTTTTATTTTATTTATTAAAAGAAATACATTTTTTTTAACACGGTACAAAAAGTACTACTCTATTTGCAGTTTTGGACCGTTAAATTTTAATTTATTAAAATTTACATTTTTCTTTTTTCATTTTGATGCGAGAAATGTGGACTGCCAAAAAAATAATTAAAAAAAAAAGCAAAGGGTCTTTAATAACTTGTCTTTTAGTGGGAAAAAACGAAAGTGACCAACTGAGGTTTCAAATAAACGACACGTCGTTTTTCTAACAAATAGTGCTTTCCATTACTCATCGAAAAATAAACACTATCCACTTACAAACTATTGTCAAACATTTCAACTTCTATTTTCTAGTTAGTGTGGCTATTCAGCCTTCTCAGGAAAGTACAATGTGATAGTAAACAATATGTGACAATTTTTTTGTTTTTTTTGAGAAGAATATGCGACAATGTTTTTCAATTGGATGAGAATATCATTTCAATTACTCCTCATCCATAGGTATTGGTTTCTCACCATCTGTAGTCTCTTATTAGTGGGACAATGAGACGATAGTCTCTAACTCATTAGTCGTTCCAAATATATATCAAGATTTTTTTTTAAAAAAGAAAAAAACTCATAACATGCACTTAAATCATTACATTAAATATTTGTGTATGAATATTCAAAGATTACTGGTTTTGATATGATTTAACATTTTTTTTTTGTATGAGCGAACGACGGAATAATCTAGAAATCTATAATACACTCAAGTTGTATTATTATTTCATTTATATGCTAATGTTTATAAATACACAATGCAATTTGAAGAGTTTTCTACGGCGAGATTTACTAAAAAAGTACATGAATTAAAAGAAAACAAAATTTAGACCAGTAAAAAGGTCCAAACCTTTACCGTTTAATACATATACAACAAAAAAAAAGGGCATACAAGATTTCCTGGAGAGGAAAAAAAAAATCCAGAAAGAAAACTCAGTTACTGCTAAAACACTCCACATATAGACAACTGATTTGTTTTGAGTACAATGGGATGGTAAAAGGTAGTTCTAAGTATTCCGATTTTGCATGAATGTGATTTTGATTCAACCCCTTAACCTTAACGAGCAGTTGAATTTGGGGGGTCAATTCCCATGGCCTCAAAATAAGCTTTCTCTGCGCTAGTCATCCTATCTTGAAACATTGTCCATTCTCTTCTACACCTCTCCCTCACCTGACACACAAATAGTTTACAACTTTCAGTGCTTTTTTTCATTACTACTTTTTTTTCTCCCTTTTCAATTCAAGTTTGTTCTTCTTCATATTATAACAAGTTCATGGGCAGAGAAGATTAGAGAGTCATTACATACCCCTTCCCATGGTGCTTTCCCAGATTCAGCTTTCCCCTGCGAAAGAAAGAACGAGGCAATATGATAGATTTTACTATGACGCAAGAAATGAAGAAATTAATAGTGCTTATAAAAGCTAGGTGTAGGATTTACTTGGTTCCCAAGTGAAGGAACACCTTGATGAACAATCCACTGTGCGTCTACAACTCCTATCTTCTCGTGAGCAGGCTGTTTCATGTAAAGGTATAAAGTTGACAAAAGAACTTGGATAAAATCACAAACAAGGGGAAGAAATTGGAGAAACGTTTGTCACTAACCTCGACACATTTTCGAAGTGCAAAGTCCAAACCCCATCCATGAACCAGGTCATTCTGCAATAAGACGAATAATATTTTTGAGCTAGTTGGATGGGCATAAGAGAGGCAATAGGTTGATCATATACAAAATACAAATAAACTACAAACCTGAATCATATGCCAAACGCAACGCCATGCGTCACGAGAAAACACAGTTGCCATAATCTCGACAAATCTGCAGGACTTTAAGTCAATATGGTACAAGGTATTTCCAACTAATCCTAATAGCTCCACAAGGCCATGGAAGAAGTAGATTGTGGTTATAAATAATCAAACAAGGCACAATAAATTATTTTAAACATACGCTGCACACGGTGGCAAATGTGGATCAGTACACCAACCAGGTTTCTCCTCCGTGTCCCTGCACAGAGAAGAAAAGGGGCTCATCAACTGAACTGATCAAGCTACAAAAAGTAGGAAGTAAGGAGAATATGAAAACAAAATGGATAGTTTCTGGCATCCTTACTTGTGGACTTCGCTATCACCTCTTCGCTTTGTCATCTGCCATGTTAACCCTTTATTTGGTTCCAGACCAGGCTGTGAAATCTCCAAACCATGTTTCCTTACCAGTTTTATGTATCTGAAACAAGCAGATTTAAGGCCTTATGATACTAGATCAAAATCAACAGTCTTCAACCCAAAGCAAGCAGCACATTGAATAGAAAACACTCACTCCTCTGCATTGAAGTGCTCCACACCAAGATCCTCATCCCACATAAAGATGTATTCATAATGTGCCACGATGTCAGGATGCAAAAATCGTTTGGCATACCACCTTTGACCAATATTCAGGAAGCCGATGTGAGTAGAAGTTTTATATGACTTGCAAAAATCTAATGCAGCCAACTTATGAATGTATGTTTGTGCCTGCTCGAGCAAAACCCTTGCAACCTACTAAGAATTAACTTCAAATCTATTAAGGGAACAAATTGCTAACCATTTAGTTTGCTTCTGAACGCTCACATGGATAGCCCGCTTTGACCACTCAAAGTCTTCCCATTCGCTTGTTTGACCATCATAGTGAAACAAGACGATGGTGAAATTCTCTGAAAACTGTAAATGGGAGATCAGTAGACGAACTATAGTGAGAATAAACAGACACAAATAACAGCCAAAAGGACCTACCTTTTTAACTGCAGCGTCAATATTTTTCTTCTGATCATAGCCAACAGTGAAAGTTACAAGGTATCTTGGTTTGCTGGTTAAGTCCTGCAAATGGCATCTCCAAAACCAAAGATTTAGATTAAGAGAACAAATTTTAGATATTAGTCAATCAGTCAGGATAAAATCCAACGTTGTTGTGCAATGCAAGGTAAATAGAAATGAGGTAATTTCTGATCATATAATTCTAGTAAATTTAATTCTTAGAAAATTAACACAAATATTATTGCCTTCTTCAGGCAGTTTCAGCAAACTCGAGGCCTCTCCATGATCCATCTCAGTAGGTCTAGCGGCAAAGAAAAAATCAAAACAGGATTGGATATTATTTTCCTATTTAGTTAACTACCAAGCCAAGTTCTGCATTCTAAATAAGACAAGTCCATCCATCAATTTCTAAAATACTAAAAATCACCAGCAAGAAAGTCTTCTTGAAAACTTCTGCCCTAAACTGTTTTAATCTTTACTAACTCTTATGAGGTAACTTTTTCATCCTATCTCCTAATAGTGTATTTCTCTGTGTTAAAATTCTTTCACATTTTAACTGGCGTAGCAACTTAATAAGAGGTAGCAAATGCATACTTCACTGGGAAGACCCCACAATCGGCGAAGATAAAAATCTGATTCTGATGCAATTATGCCAGGGGGTAGTCTTTCAGCTCCTCGAGGGTTTGTTGGAACCCAAATCTGCATCATAATCAGAGTGTTATTACTTTTACTGACAAATAAGAGCAGGAAAAATGCTGCCCCCTAGGGAATGAAAAGGTGCATTGTATCCCTGAGAATAAGTGGAAATAAGGATGCGAACTCAAAGAAATCATTTATGCTACTTAATTTTACAGGCAAGTAATTTTTTTCTCAATATTATGATGAGGAATACAGTAGAGAAAAAAATTTAGATTAAACATCCATGTACCTCTGTCTCATTGTATGAGTATACTTGAGTGGGAGTACGTTTAATACCCCTCAAAGAGGAGAAAGCATCGAGAAGAGCATGGGTTGAAAGCCCCGAGTACTTGTCCTCAATATATGTGAGATCAATAGAAGGAAAGAGGCTGGATGGGAGGCTCATCTGTCAAATTTGATCACAACAAAAATTTTTAACTCTTAGTTAACTAGATTGGAACCAAATAAACAAGAAGCATAACCACTTAGAGAAGATTGTGCACCTTAGTTAATGAGAGTGTTGGAAATGACACCCCTAAAAAGAAGCCAAATACAACTCCAATGAAAGTTGTTACCAGTAGCCTCATTGTCTCATTAGGTTTTCGTATACTTCCACTGAAACCCGAGAAAATTGACTCATCAGACACATGTATGTCACTAGTGATAAAATCAATTATTCAATATAGCCTAATACGAGATGATCCGAGAGAAAATAGAAAGAACAAAGTTTCCCTCACAAAAGAATTGTAAGAAGTTCTATACCCTCTTAATGGATTCCCCATATTGGTCAATGTCTTTCAACTCCACGATCACAAGTATGCTGTTCAGGTCCCAGAAAGCAATAGCTGCTTGTTGTACTCATCAAAACTTGTAGCTCCTTAATGCTCCAGAATCGAACAATTTATCCTCATTGCAAGAAAAACCAACTCTGAGAACACAAATCTCTTATAAGCTCAGTACATGTTATGTGAATCAACTACATGACATCCTACAGTTCAAGATTCTGAAGAAGCTAACATTCTGACTAACAACTGGGATCAACTTTATGAAACACATAGAGCCCTGACATGCGTATTATTCATAAAATAAAATTTTTTAAAAAAAGAACAAAAACAAAAACAAAACACACACACACACACACTATAAACCAATAACTAGATCCACTGGTTTAGGCCAATAGTACACAATCCACTTCGAGCCCCAGAAATGGAAATCTTGGTGCTATATTATCTCAAGATTGTTAACAATGGATTTAAAGCAAATGCTATATGGAGATAAAGGAGGCATTTTCCCTTTCCCTTCTGAGCATTGCCAAAACTGAATTTTTTTTTTAAGAACGCAATTCATGTATACGTAATCATTGAGAAATTCTGAAAGTGCAGAGGATGACGAATCTTAAAGCTTGCTTTAAGTAAATGTCTCTAAATCTTGCTAAATTTACAAAAAATTGACTTTGATAAATGGTTGATTGAATTTGGGTAAATTATTGTTTGACCTTCATATATCATTGATAAATTAATCATTATCAGTGTACATTTAATTTGCTCTCTAATCACGTAAACTGTTCATACTTAATTCTTTAAGAAATGTACTTTTTTTTTAACTTAACAAATCTAAGGAATTTACTGAAACTATACTTTGAAAAGGGTCATTTTCGCACATAATTATTTCCTCAACCATACAATACACCGGCAATTTCCCAACAGAACCATATCAGAATTCCTGGTTTTTCTATGAAATACCCAAAAGAAGAAATCATTGCTAATTAGCAAACAAATCAAATTTAGAAACGAAATAGAAGGATTAAACTTGAGCTATTTAAAGGAAAGACAAATAAACTTACTGGTTCTGATCAAACATCAGCAAAACCAGGAAAAGAAGATAACTAGTGAAAAAATTTGGTTCGAGAAGTGAAATTTACCTCTGAATCACGATCGAAGAGAACCAAAAACGGTAGTTCAGCTGGTACTTCAGGGGCTTCTTAGGCTCGGTTTCTCTGAGGAAATCGAAAGAAGAAAATACACGGAACGAAGAAAATGGGAGGAAAAATTTTCCAAGAAAATGTTTGGATTTTCCGAGGAAGAAGGAGTCCGAATTTCTCGTGAAGCTCAGGAACGAGGTTCAAAGCAAGTTTTTTTTTTAAATTTTAGATTTGAATTTTTCACGGAATTATTTGAGCCACGTTATAAGAGGAAAATTGAATTCGATTGATCTACCAAAAACAAAACAAAAAACAAAAAACAAAAACAAAAAAAAAGGAATTCGATTGGATACAAACGACGAAATTCATGTGTACGGTACATGAACTTGAACTACCATAAATAAGATAAGTTCTGGCCAATCGTTTTGATTGCAATTGGTGGGTCCACAGATCCGGTCGACAAAAAGAGAAGATCTAGCCGATGATCTGGCGATATTAACAGTACAAGAGTGACCGTATTGAAGATCTTGGTTGGCATTAAGATGCTCCTCTGATTGAATTTGGAAGGTCTTGTTTGACATTAGCTTTTGGACAATTTTGCCAATTTGAGCCGGCTTTTTTAATATTTGGAGGGAATAATGTCATGAATCTATTAGAAAAAATAAATGAAAATAATGATAACAACAATAATAATGCCATGCATTAACTTACACGACCCATTGTTTTGTACTAATCACGAGGGATGAAAATTACATGTTCAATTTTAGCGTATAATAAATTATATTATGAGTCGATTAAACTAGTTTTGTGTTTTTTTTTTTTGTCAATTAAGGTCCCGTTCAGTTCGTTGATTCGAGTTTTTAATTTAAGTTGAGATGTAACTTTATGTGAGAATTTTTAACTATAGCAAAAAGTTAGATATGACGGTTTCTAAGATCTTTTAATTGTAGTAAAACTTGAATTAAAAACTTGAATCTGTGAAATGATCGAGACTTAAATGATATACATATATTGATTGGTTATGTACATAAAAATTAGACAGGTCACGGAAGATTTGAATCACGTTGAAATTTACATGAGGCTTTTCAATTAGGAAGACAGACAAACTAACTATGAAATTGACTTTCTAAATAAAACTATAGATAATTAGGAGAAGGAAGGAAATAGACCAAAATTTGAGATCAATAAAAATTAATAGGCCAATAGTTTACATAAGTTAACAAATAGGCCAAATTAAGATACATTCAGAATTATCTACACATAAATTCCAAAACTGCCCTTTTCACTTAAAAAAACCTAAAACACCTTTCTCTCTCAGTTCTTCGCACCGACCTTTGCTCTCTCTTTCTCTCTCTTCAATCTGGTGCTCTCCGGCGAGTGTTTCTTCCCTCCGCCGCTCTCCCACGATCACTCTTTCTTCCCTCTGGCGATCTCCGGTGAACTGTTTCTTCCCTCCGCCGCTCTCCTACGATCACTCTCTCTTCCCTCCGGCCCTATAACGCGATCTGTCTCTAATCCGCAATCTGTCTCTATTCCCTCTGAATCTCTCTCTCTCTCATCCCTTCACCAGTCCCAGAAACCGAAGAACAGGGAAGCTCCGAAGAACAGGGAAGGTCCGCCACCGATTCTCGCTCTTAGGTCAGCCGGTGTCATTAGATGAGAAATCGAAGAACAAGGAAGGTAACATAAGAACAAGGTAAATCTGTTAATCACTAGCTGGAAAACCACGAATTCATTTGAGTATGTTAGTATTGATTTTCTTGAATTGAAATTTTGAATGAAAAGATTATGTTATTGGAAACCTATCGTATAGTAAGCATGCTGAAAAAATTTAAGGCTTCAAAAATCAAGTTATGGTCAGGTTATTATCATAACATGTCGAGTTATGTCATTTCTTGAATCTGAAAATTACAAGTGCAGGTCAGATTATTCAAATTGTCGAAAATAAATCATTGTCAAGTTATGGTTTTTTTGAGAGAAATAAATGAAGATGAAGTTCAAAGTGAAATGCCACCAGCAGCATCAAGAAAACTGGACAAGATGGAAATTGATCTAACTAATCTGCTTAACAAAGTACAACATTTTGAAGCCAACCAAGCAGCCATGAAAGATGATCTGAAAGAAATAAAGGCAATGGTTGTGAATTCTGTGGACATTATGAAAACCATTCAAAAAGATGTGCTTTTGTTTCTCAAACAAATACAAAACAATCCACTCACAGACTCTGAGGTAATGAAACAACGCAAAATAATGTTGATTTTATTTTTGCAATGTTTCCTTAATGATATACTAATTTGTACCTCAATGAATAGGAAGACAGAGAAAAAGAATTATCTACAGAGCTAGGAGAACATGAGGGAGAATTCGGTTATACTCAACTCATAGACTCTTTTGATATCAGTCAACAAACATTGGACAGAACATTTGAAGAAGCTGAAAAGATAATAGCAATGAGAAAAGCTGTTGCTCAAGGAATCAAAAAGGTATGAATCTTCTTAATACTACTTGGGAAAAAGGAAAAAAAAAGAAAAACCCACATTAATACTAAACAACCTTACTTATTATTGCAGGAACAAGATTATGAAGAAACAAAAAATGAGGAAGAAGAAAAATCAATGAAGAGAAACAAAAGAAAAAGTGCAAAGGAACAGAGGGAAAAAAATGGAAGAGCTTGGCATTCCTTTCATTCATCCTCTTCACCCAAAGTTCTAACAACACAGACTCGTAAAAATGGGATGATATTAGAATACAACCTTTTGGATGATATGACTACTGTTTCTAAAGACTAGTCTTATATTTTAAATGATGACTTGAGATTTACACTAATTCTTACAATCTATTGAATGTTAATATTCATTGACAAGAATTTTAGATTATGTTTGAGATTGTTCATTGAATCATAAAGAATGTAAACCCAGGATTTATCAATTTCATGCTGTTGAATCTGAAAATTACAAGTGCAGCTGCACTATCAAGTTATGGTCAGGTAATGATGATCGAATTATGATCATAACCTTTTGACTTGTTCAAGTTATCTTCAAGTTATGCTAATCACATGTCAAGTTATGCTGCATAACTGGACAATTTATGTAAAAACATGTCAAATTTGCACCATAACCCGTCAAATTATGATACATATCCGGATGAGTTATAAAAAAATCTATACAAAAACATGTCAAAATTGACAAGTTATGCTAAGCTGTGGACAAGTTATGCTGCATAACCAGACAAGTTATGCTGCATAACCGGACAAGTTATGTAAAAAAATGTCAAATTTGCACCATAACCCGTCAAATTATGACACATATCCGGACGAGTTATGAAAAAAATTTCAATAATGTACCATAAACAAAAAACTCTGAATTAGGTCAATAACTTGTCATAACCAGACAAGTTATGGTCGAGAATTACATGTAAAAATATGCAAAATAACTTGAAACTTGTTTACTAATTAAAATTAAAAACCAATATAATATGTACCACAACTAGAAATAAAACACGAATCTGAAAACTAACAGGTTAATCCATATAATCATCAACAAGTTAAAAACCAATATAATATGTACCACAACTAGAAATAAAACACGAATTTGAAAACTAACAAGTTAATCCATATAATCATCCAAGTCGCACTCAATGGCATCTGTTGGCGTCATAAAATTCATTTTTGGGGCATTTGGAGCCCTGTTATCATCACTTTCATATCCCAATTGCTGCTTCCGCAAGCCATGCTTGAACAACTCAACTGCTATCTTCTTGCGGAACAATGTTCCAGCCCCTTCTTCTCTCAAACAATCATCAGATCCGGCTTCGATTAATATCTCAGCCATTGATTACGCCCAAACGTGTACAAAAACAAGCGGTCAATTGTAGTACA